GGGGGGGGGGGGGGGGGGGGGGGGGGGGGGGGGCTTCCCTTCTACAAGACGGGCCAGACGATGGATGGACTTTGGGAGGGTTGGGGGGTATTGAATGCAGGCGTGGCGTTCGTCTGCAGGGACTTGCCTTCTGTTTGTCCTCTTTTGACATTTTTGTGCCCCCCCCCCCTGTCTTTCAGCGATGGACGGGGTGCCGTTCCTGATCTCTGACAAGTACATGCACGTCGCCGCCTGCACTGTGAGTCTCGCCGATGTGCTGTTTATGCACCAGGGTACCTGTGCTGTCCGTCGAGCCAGACCCCATGTGGTCTCCCAGTCCCCACTGTCTTGGTTTTGTCGGATCCTGTCTGTCCCGCTCAGAATCGGCCCCTCTCTCCTTCCCATCGTAGCAGGTGGGTCAGGCCCACAGGTGACGGTGACCATCTCAGGCCCGGTGTGGCATTTCAGCTTGAGTGCCTGTATGCAGAGGATCCGGTAGGGATTCATACTCGCAGCCTCAGCCTCGGAATCTGACCCCAGACCAGAGCTGGAAAGTTCAGGTCCAGACGAACTTCCACCACTGGATTTTCCCAGCTTTAGCAATGCAGCACAGAGGTGTGGGCGTCAGGGACAGAGCTGAAAAGTTCGGGTCCAGAAAGTACAAATCCAGACCAAGGTTTTGTTTTAAACAACCTGAAGCTGGGAAATTCCAGTGGTGGAAGTTCATGAGATGCATTGCTTGCTCAGTGTGACTGCCACAGCCGGGCCTGTTAGGGGCCTTTATTCAAGCAGGGGCTCCTGCCTGTGTATTTCTCATGTGTGTCTGTGTATGTGTGAAGGTGTACATGTGTGTGTATGTTTCTGGCATGTGTAAGCCTCATGGGACACCCCATCCGGATTGGTGTAGGAGGGTGCTTGCTTTAGCGTGTGCCTATCAGACATGTTCCTGCCCCGTCCTCATGGGACACCCCATCCGGATTGGTGTGGGGGGGGGGCGCTGGCTTCAGCGTGTGCCTGACGGCCATATTCCTGCCCTGTCCTCATGGGACGTCCCATCTGGATTGGTGTGGGGGGGTGCTGGCTTCAGCATCTGCCTGACAGCCATATTCCTGCCCCGTCCTCATGGGACGTCCCATCTGGATTAGTGTGGGGGGGCTGGCTTCAGCGTGTGCCTGACAACCATGTTCCTGCCCCATCTGGATTAGTGTGGGGGGGCGCTGGCTTCAGCGTGTGCCTGACAACCATGTTCCTGCCCCGTCCTCATGGGATGCCGCACCCGGATTGGTGTGGGGGGGGTGGCTTCAGCGTGTGCCTGACAACCATGTTCCTGCCCCATCTGGATTAGTGGGGGGGGGCGCTGGCTTCAGCGTGTGCCTAACAACCATGTTCCTGCCCCATCTGGATTAGTGTGGGGGGGCTGGCTTCAGCATCTGCCTGATGGCTATGTTCCTGCCTCGTCCTCGTGGGATGCCCCACCCGGATTGGTATGGGGGGGCGCTGGCTTCAGCGTTTGCCTGACAACCATGTACCTGCCCCATCTGGATTAGTGTGGGGGGGCTGGCTTCAGCGTGTGCCTAACAACCATGTTCCTGCCCCGTCCTCATGGGATGCCGCACCCGGATTGGTGTGGGGGGGCACTGGCTTCAGCGTGTGCCTGACAACCATGTTCCTGCCCCGTCCTCATGGGATGCCGCACCCGGATTGGTGTGGGGGGGCACTGGCTTCAGCGTGTGCCTGACAACCATGTTCTTGCCCCATCTCTGTATTCCAGCTGCAGCCAGCTGATATCCTGGAAACCACGATCAAGTCCCTGGCAGAGATCGAGCAGGAAGTGAGTAACAATAGCAGCACAGGGGGGATGATTTTGGGGGAGGGGGGGTGTGTAATTAAATGTCTGTGCTGTGATGGCACCCCTGCTAAACCCAGACTGAATGAGGGTGCCTTCGCGTTCAGGTGTCACAGAGATGCCTCTCGTTCAGCTGGCAGCAATGTGTATTCCACTCCTCCCCGTTCTTTATCTTCGGAGTGGCTCCAGCCCATAGCCCCAGCCAGAGACCCCCATCCAGACAGGCCCTTGCCAATGACCCCCGGCCAGAGACCCCCTCTCGGACTGGCCTTAGCCACAGAACCTCTCCCAGAAAGCCCATAGCCAGAGACCCCCTCCGGGAGAGGCCCCGTCCAGAGGCCCCAGGTCAGAGAGGCCCCCCTGAGTAGCCCGTTGGGAGGTGATGGTGTCTAATCCGTCTCAGGGAGACCGACATCAGATAGAATTTTGCCTTTGTCCATGTTAATGAGCGAACAGCTTTTCAATCAGCAGCTCGGCCAAAAAGAGCTTAATATCCTATTTTAAGGAGTATTAATCCATGCGGGTGCACGGCGTTAAATTTTAATGTATTCATTTAGGAGGGAAATTCAGTTTTGCTTTTATGTTTTCAATCTAGAACATATTCCCTTTAAAGTCTGTGGCTTTTAATCCTAGAAAGCGAGGCTCCCTTGTTGTTAAAGTGTCACGTCCGGTAAAGCCCCTGTGGATGCGGGCAATCCACTGCCATCGCTTTCATGGGTTTTTAAAATCTCATCTATGAATCGCGGTGAAACATCAGATAATCCCTGCTGTGAGTGGAGAGCTTTTCCACAGAGCTGTAGGGAGGCAGCCTGTTTTGTGTTGCCTGTGGTCTCTCAGAAGCACTCCAGGTAGGTCTGTGCCCTTAAGATTCAGCTCAATTTCCAGATGCGCCCCATATGTTTGACCTTCAAACTTGGACAGTCCAGGTTTAAGAGGTTCCTCAGATGGACACATTCCGGGGTGAGAGAGCGCCTCCTGCAGGTCGGGTGAGACCCGTACGGCCTCAGACACTGCTGTCTGGGGTAGACTAGAATAAGGGCTTGTTTGAACTCTTTAGGGCTTTGGCTGTGCGTAGTTTGGTGCTTAATGGCAGAAGGGGTGTCGTCATACAGGCGGGGATCTGCTTCCAGTCTGTTTCCGTTTAGCACGTGCTCTGTTGCACGGGGGTCGGTGTGAGGTTAAGCACCCCGCCTCGTGAGTACAGCCGTGGGTTTGAACGCGTGACCGGCTCCGCGGTCATTAGCGTCGTACCGTAACCCCGGCACTAACGGCTGCCAAGATATTCACTGCCCCCAGAGGAGAGCCACCGGGCAGGAGTACAAGGTGAGAGCAGGGGCTGCCACACCTCCAGCAAGCTTTGAGTAACACTCAACTTTTAGCCCTGATTATTCTCTGCGTTTCAAACCATGTCCCAGGAGGGAATATAATAAACGTGGTGTGGACTGATCCCTGATTCCCCCCATCAGTAAAAGTGGGCAGTGCTGACTCTTTGCGTCCTCTGCCCTCTGTTAAGAAGTGAAGTTCCATACGCCTCACTCTCCCTCTGCAGCAGCTGCCTCGTCTCACATGCAGGAGCCCACAGATGGCTGTTTGGGGAGTTTTCGGCCACTGCATTGTCGCGTTGGGTGTATCGGGACGCGGGGTGTCTGCCTTGGTGAACTCCAGGGGGCACGCTAGGGGGCACGCCCTGAAGGTGGCCATTCATACGTGCTTCCTCAAACTTTCAGACTCGGAAACTCGGTGAGACCCAACTGGGCCAGTGAAGCCAAACTGCCCCCACGGGGAGGGGTGTAATTAGCAGGGTACGGGACTCGTTATTTACCACGCCGGGGGAAATGAAGTGAATATGGGATTGTGTGATGTGCGGGGTGACAGCAGGAGGTTGAGGCTGGCAGCAGGCGGACGGAGGTGAGGTCCTGCCTTGGCAGGTGATCGGGTCGACGGAGACCTGGGACAGCTTTCTTACTGCCCCCCCCACTATCACTCGGGCTAGTACTGCATTTATACTCCTGTTTTTAGATGGGGAGGGGGTCACTGCAAATCTTGTTTTAAAATGTAGTTAGCTATTTTTTACTGGTAAGAATCACTGCATTTTTAATCGCATCTCTTGGGTTTTGGAGATACTTTATATAAAAGCTGGGAAAAGCGGATTTGGAAATATTGATTAGTGATCTACAAAATGTCAACTGCTTAAGAGATTTAATATAAATTATTGAACAAGTACAGTAAATATAATTCAAAGAACAATCAGATAATCACAGCATGCTCTGATCGAGTGAAGGTCATTGGTGTTTGTTCCTATTATATTTTATAATATTATAATAATATTTTAACTATTATTACACGCTATTTCTGTTTAAACCAAGACTCTCAGCGCACCTTGATTAACAGGTAACTGATGGTTATTTGATATGAAAGAAATTTAAAAATCCAGCTTCGGGACAATTCATCTCAGGGCTGCACAAGTGGGAAGTTTGTGCTGTCCAGCAGAGGTCAGTGTTGAGCTGCTGGACAGCTCAGGTGGGATGCATCAGGCGGCGATGCACACGGTCACTGGCAGGTACTTGGCGGTATAGGAAATGCCTGCATTGGGGTAGGCGTGTGTGGCCCTGAGCACACGCGTGTAGTCCTGAGGAAGGCCACGCCGCGGGCGTGTGCGGTATGGGGATCGCACATCACTTATACGATTTCTTCCATTCCTTAAGAGATGCTGGATCCAGCAATTAGGCATTCTTTTAATTTCCCAAATGACTCAAGAAACTTGTGGAGATTATAATTGCTTTTAGCCACGCATATCTAATTTGTGTCTTTTTAAGTGTTAATTAGTAAGCAATTTGAGCTGATGTCTCTATGTAGTTCACACTGCTGAAGGATTCTGTTGTTGCCGGCTGCTTAATGACTGTGTGTGTGTGTGTGTGTGTGTGTGTGTGTTAGCAATAGTGTGTGTGTGTATGTGAGTGCAGGTGTGTGTCGGTGTGTGTGTGTCTATATGGAGTGTGTGTTGTATGTATGTATGTATGTATGTCTGTCTGTCTGTCTGTCTGTCTGTTTTGAGAGTGTGTGTGTGTGTTAGCAATAGTGTGTGTGTGTATGTGAGTGCAGGTGTGTGTCGGTGT